CCCCTCTCAGGACGTTACTTTTGACGAGTCCGTGCCCTTCTACCGCCTCTTCCCCTACCTCACTGCCCCGCTCCCTCCCCCGCCTCTCTTCCTTGCGCCAGGTGCTGCAGTGGTAGACCCCCTTCCCCCTTAGGGTGCCGCTCCCTCAGGTGTCTCTCAGGTAGACCCGGTTGAGCCTGCCGAGGTAGCTGTCGACTCGCGTCCTGCTAGAGGTGCTGAGCCTGAGAGTGCGGAGCCTGAGCGTGCGGAGCCTGAGCGGGTGGAGCCTGGGGGTGCTGAGTCTGGGGGTGCTGAGACTGGGGGTGCTGAGCTTGGGGGTGCTGGGTCTGGGGGTACTGAGCCTGGCGTTGCTGAGTCTGGGGGTGCTGAGCCTGGTGGTGTTGCAGTTGACTGTGAGGCGCCTGGAGGACCTCCCTCTTCGCAGCAGCTACGTGAGTGGTACTCACGGTACTGCAGCCTCCGGCAGGGTACGTCTCGGGCTCGTGGTGCTACTGGAGTTGGTACTCGTGTTTCCCCACCACGGCGGGAGCCGCCCTCTTCCCCACACCTTCGAGAGTGGTACGCTCGGCACATCAGTCTCCGGAGTGGAGCTGCTGGTGCTGGGGTCCCCGGAGTTGACGCTGCTGCGGGTGCTGCGGACCCTGGTGCTGGAGGTGCTGCTGCTGCTGGCGGTGCTGCTAGAGGTGCTGCTCGTACTGAGGACCCGGGCGTTGGAGCTGCTGTGGGTGCTGCGGACCCTGCTGCTGGAGGTGCTGCTGGTGCTACTGGAGGTGCTGCTGCTGCCGCTGGAGTGGGGGACCCGGAGGGTGGAGCTTCTGCTGGTGCTGAGGACCCTGCCGCTGGTGTCTCTGCTGGTTCAGGAGTTGCTGCACGGCCACGGCCGTACTTCGTTCCGCTCCTTCAGCAGGTTCTTGGTCAGACTCCTCCTCCTTGTCCTCCTCTCGCCTTAGAGTGTCTGCCGTCTGTCCAATCACAGCCATAGTTACCGCCTGCCTCCCCACTCCCTGTGCCTACTCCTTACACTGGTCCGACTGGAGGTCTTGCTGAGAGACGTGAGCCTGCGTCACGTCCTGTGTCACGTGCGTCTCGTCGAGCGTCGCCTGTTCGTGCTGCTACCACTGGTAGTCGTGTCCAGCGTCAGCGTCCTCCTGCTGTCCCAGGCACTCACCAGATGGCGCTTCGTCAGTCCACTGCTCCACAGCGTGTCGCTCTCCCGTCGCCTCCTGCGTCCTCTCTTCCTGCTCTTGCTGACCCGGAGTCAGACACCCTTCGAGCTGCCAGTCCTACTGTCACACGTCTCCTTGCTACAGTTGTCACTGACCCTTCCTTTGAGTCCGCTGCTGCGTCTGCCTTAGTCACTGAGCTTGTCGACTTTGCAGCTGCGTGTCGTCTAGACTACGCTGCGAGTCTAATTGCTGAGTCTGAGTCTGTCTGTCCTCCGTCCGTCGGGGGTGAGTGTGCTCTTGGCACGGACGTTCTTGAGGACAGACAGGAGGAGTTTGGTTGCCTTGCCGCTGCTTTGCCCCATCTCGTGTCCATGCTTGTTGCCCCTGAGGGAGACCCGGATGCACCAGACATCCCGACCCCACGCTCTTACGCAGAGGCGATGGCCGGTCCCTACTCCTCTCAGTGGCAGTCAGCCATGGACACAGAGTTGGCTTCCTGGAAGTCCACTGGCACCTACGTCGACGAGGTTCCCCCACCTGGGGCGAACATCGTCAGTGGCATGTGGATTTTCAGGGTGAAGCGGCCGCCGGGCTCTCCGCCTGTCTTCAAGGCGCGTTACGTGGCACGAGGCTTCAGTCAGCGAGAGGGAGTTGACTTCTTCCAGACCTTCTCCCCGACCCCGAAGATGACCACTCTTCGGGTTCTGCTACACGTCGCCGCTCAGCGTGACTACGAGCTCCACTCTCTTGACTTCAGCACAGCTTTCTTGTAGGGCAGCCTGCACGAGGAGATCTGGCTGCGCCGCCCACCTGGCTTCACTGGGTCGTTCCCTCCTGGTACCCAGTGGAGCCTCAGGCGGCCAGTCTACGGTCTCCGCCAGGCGCCACGTGAGTGGCACGACACACTGAGGACTACACTTGCGGCTCTTGGGTTCGCTCCTTCTACTGCTGACCCGTCGCTGTTTCTACGCACTGACACCTCACTGCTGCCGTTCTACATCCTCGTGTACGTCGACGACTTGGTCTTTGCCACTTCTGACACAGCTAGTCTCGCTCACGTGAAGTCCGAGCTGCAGAAGAGACACACGTGCACAGACCTGGGTGAACTGACAAGCTATCTTGGCTTGCGGATCACCCGGGACAGAGCACGCCGCACCATCACCTTGACTCAGTCACACATGGTGCAGCAGGTCCTTCAGCGCTTCGGCTTCACGTACTCCTCGCCTCAGTCCACTCCTCTGCCTACGGGACACTCGCTCTCAGCTCTGCCTTCGAATGAGTCCGTAGAGCCGAGTGGTCCGTATCCAGAGCTTGTGGGCTGCCTCATGTACCTGATGACCTGCACTCGACCTGACCTTGCATACCCTCTCAGCATCTTAGCACGCTATGTCGCTCCCGGCCGTCACCGGAAGGAGCACATGGATGCAGCTAAGAGGGTGTTGCGCTACTTGTGTTGTACGTCGGGCATGGGGCTAGTGCTTGGAGGGCGAGACCGGCCTGTTCTCACTGGGCACTCAGACGCTTCTTGGGCAGACGACCAGGCTACTCAACGGTCGTCTCAGGGTTACACCTTCAGTCTTGGCTCTGGCTCTGTCTCTTGGCGTTCTACTCGTTCTTCTTCTGTTCTCGGCTCCAGCTGTGAGGCTGAGATCTACGCCACGGCCATGGCTGCCCAGGAGCTTCGCTGGCTCACCTACCTGCTGACTGACCTTGGAGAGCAGCCTCGTTCTCCTCCAGTGCTGTACGTCGACAACAAGGCAACCATAGCCTTGTGTGAGGAGCACAGACTGGAGCACAGGACGAAGCACATTGCTCTGCGTTACTTTCTAGCTCGAGAGCTACAGCAGCGTGGTCAGCTTCTTCTGCGTTACGTGGCCACTGAGGCCAACACTGCTGATGTGTTCACCAAGGCGCTTCCGCCTGGTGATCATCAGCGTTTTTGCACTCTTCTAGGCCTTGTGCCGACTGTTCCTCACTTGCTTACTTCTTGACCTTGCCTGTACTGTGATCATTATATATATACCTGCATGTTTGCCCTTGCTAGGTTGTGATCATTGTACCTCTTGCTCTGTTATAAAACTGCATGTGAACTGGTCTTGTGACCGCTTACTTGTGCTCGGAATTTGTGTGGAATCCTCGAGATCCACCCTGAGCTTGTTTGTCTTGTTTTGCCTTGACTGGTCTTGTGACCCCTAGGTCTCCCCCACTTTGCCTATGGGGGTGTGTCAAACATTATATGTTTGTGTGGTTCTAGGCTGTAGTGGGTCACACCATAGGGGGTACACCAGATTAGGGTTTCATATTTGTACTCTTGTTCCTGCTAGTCACTCTCATTCCTGTTTCTCATTCTGACATGACCTTGGAGAGCCGCCTCGTTCTCCTCCAGTGCTGTACGTAGACAACAAGGCCATGCTGGCCTTGTGTCGGGAGCAGCGCCTGGAGCACAGAACGAAGCACATTGCTCTCCGCTACTTTCTTGCTCGTGAGCTGCAGCAGCGTGGTCAGTTGCGTCTTGCGTACGTGGCCTCTGAGGCCAACACTGCTGATGTTTTCACCAAGGCACTTCCGCCTTGCGATCATCATCGCTTCTGCACTCAGCTGGGTCTTGTGCCTGTCTTGCCTCACTTGCTCACCTCTTGACCTTGCTTGTACTCTTACATATATATACACCTGCTCTTGCTTGTTTAGCCTTATGTATATATGTGTACTCCTGCATGTGAACTGGCCTTGTGGCCTTGACCTTGTGCTCGGACTATGTGGTGACGCTGTGATCCACCTTGAGCTTTGCTTTGTTTTGCTTGACTGGTCTTGTGACCCCTTGTTTGTCATGCTGGTCTTGTAATCCCTCATGAGATATGCCACTTGGAGGGCAACGTGGTCAGCATGACATGCGGTAGAGTAATGCTCAATGTGTCCATGTGTCCTTTCCCCACACCACTCTCGGAGGGGAATTGCCAACCAATCTGCGCTGATGCAAGCCGCACGAAATGGCGGTGCGGGTGTAAACGCAAGTCTCAACATGCATAGGTGGGTACTCCGAGCGTGGTTGGTGAGCACACCACGCCACACCAGTATGTGGGCCTTGGAGCTTCGTGGTGTTCTAAGACGATGACATGCCCCTTTAGGTATGTGATCCACGTCACCATGGAGGTCTTGGGACCTGTGCATGATGCTGATTTTATGGTGGTAGGGCTTGCGTGACAGATTTCAGGTTGCCGCATAATGTAACCATCATATGTACAACGTCACACTCGGTATTTTCCATTCCAGATTTCTCCTCCTTTGCAATCACTCACTCCCCTCTTCCCACACATGGCTCCTTTCATCCGTGCTGTTGCCAGAATCTCGTTTCAACCCCGCTGTGCCATTGTGCGTGAGCCTTCTCAACAACGCCCAAGTCAAGAAGATTAGCCCATCCAAGCAGTAAAGGCGTGGGCCCATGGTGGAGACTGTCTCCTTCAGTTCGGCACCATGTGCTACACCTTTCTGCTGCTCCGGGAACAGAACATTTCAATCACTCTTCATATACCGGTAACTCTAACAGCATCCCACCTCATTATTTCAGGTTGCTAGGCAAGACACAGGCATGTGCCCGCGGGTTCTCTTTTTTTCCGGGAGTCGCAACCCTGCGATGATTGAGTGGGCAATATTATCGCGTGTCCATAGAGAACAGTTGAAGCATGCTCAAACTAAACCTTGTAACAACATAAGTCTCATGCAATGGAGTGGTTTTGTAGCCTGTGTTGTACTAGCATGGATCTACTGCTTGGCATGACTATTTATGTAGGGTGGTCTGGCTGTTGGAGGTCCACATCATGCTGAAGACAGTTGCTGCTACTGGTTACGTGAAGGCTGGTCCCTGTGCCATGCAGACATGTGCAGGAAGGACAAGGAAGATAGGGAATGAGGTAACTGGGCAGATGGGGAAAGAGATAACTGGGTAGATGGGGAATGAGATGACTGGGCAGATGGGGAATGATATGACTGGGCTTCACGTGTGTGGCTTCACTCCCGTCGTCATGGGGGAGGGTGCAATTTCGCAGCACTATGGCCAGATGGCAGGCAGCCGAGCATGCAGCAATGTGAGACGCATGTGCAAACCTGAATCACGAGCAATAACCGGATGACAGCTGCACCCTCCCCCACTGCACACCCCACCCTGCACCCTCCCAACCATTCAACCCCCACACCCAACCCCCCACCCTGCACCCTCCAACCCTGTTATGAAAATGTCGCTCCACCCTTGACCTGCCCATCACATCCGGCACCCCTTACCTTCTGCACGGACAGGATGGGAGGGGCAAGTCTAGGGAATGTGAGAACAGGAGAGATGGCACAGGTGGCACGGGGTGAGGGAGGGTAGTGTAGTGGACGGCACAGATATTCTCACGTTGCAGCACCTGGACCGCACATTCGCAGCCCAGATCGCCCGGACCACCCGCATGGAGTTGCCTCTCCTCCCCCGCAGCCGCCACCCCGGTCGCGGCCGCCCTGAGGCTGATCCTGAGTCAGCCGCGGGCGCGAATTGTGCGGCGTACTGCACTACCAAGGCAACGCTTCGTGTTGCGTGTGGTTCCACGCTTCCATGTGCCGAGCAAACGTGCTGCTCGGTATGCGCCCGCCATCTCCTCGCCCACAGGCCCCCACTCCGCCCGCTGCTCACCCACCCTGTCGCTGGGGAGGAGGGTGGGGTGAGAGGGGGACGGGAGTGGAAATCAGGGGGAGAGGAGGTGAGGAGGTGAGTGGGAGAGAGTGTAGGCGGAGTGGGGACGTGAGGAGGGGGGACGCGTGGTTTGGTGTTTGTTGTCATGATGGCTCACTGTTTTCCTCTGGTTTTTGTCTCGTATGGTTTGGCTCGCCAGATCGCCACTCGCCTGGGTTGGGAGGAGAGTCAAGCCTGGGATAGTGGGGGGAGGAGGAGGGGAAGGGGGGGATGGAAGAGAGAAATGGTGATATACCGTCATATGCGGGCCCCCCCCCGGCCAACCTGGACGGCGTGGAGCACGGCACGAGAACGACAGCAGTGCATGATGGAGAGGGGGAGGGGCGGCTTGCGTGGAACGGCCGAGAGGAGAATACTATGCGTAGAGGAGAATACTATACGGCTTGCGTAGGCGATGGAAGGCTATGAGTGGTTGCGGCGGCACGGAGAGAGAAGGAGAGAGGAGGGATTGGAGGTGAGGATAAGGGAGGGGCGAGAGGAAGAGGTGGGCTCGGATGGAGATGGGAGGGGTTGAGGGAAAGGAGACGCTTACAAACAAGACGGGGACAGGAGGGCGTACGAGCCGTTGACGGCGTGGGGTGACGCTCTCCGAATCCAGCGATGCCCCATCCATATTCCACAGACAGCCGGCGGGGAGAGATTGCTGCAAAGGGGCATGGGGACAGTGGGGACGCATTCGAAAGGTGGGAAGTGGGGATTTGATGGGTGGATATGAGGGGGTCTTGAGGCAGGTACTGTCGGACACGACATTAGGTATGCGTTGGTAGCCTTGACGACGAGGTGTCTGATTCGCAATCACATGTCGAACTTGGTCGCGAAACCCTAAACCGATGCGCGTGTTTGTAAGCGATGCGCGAATTTCCGGCCATTCGCTCCACCGATGCAATGAAGAGTCGGCGTTTTACCTGCCCGTGTAGTTGGGAGCGACGACGCGTTCATTCAAAAACGATGCACCACGCAACCTCTCACCGCGGCATAAAACTATGCGCGTCGAATCACAGCGCGGCGGGACGCAGCGCGTAAGGGCGAAGGTGGCGAGCAGCCCGAGGCTACATGGCCAGTCGACGGCGTGCCGCAATGGCTGTGATTATCATGGCCTTGATGGCTAACGCGACCATCGTTACAACGGCCGTTTAGATTTATCCTCTCGGCTCTATCCGTAGGACACTTCCCGTGCGGCAGTCATTCTTTCCGTAAGATTTCCTGGTTGCATACTATACTCCCTCGTGATGGCGTCGAAATGCTATCAGGTGTGCCATGGGCAATCGTGGTGTGCCAGGGATGTGTGTGGGCCTATTGTACGACTCTGCAGCTGGTGCTAGTTTGTGTTTTGAAGTTCCAAATTGCGCTCAATCTGTTGCAAGTTTTTGGGTGAGTGTTGGCAAGACGGGTTCCTCAGAACCCTGGTCTGCGACGGAACACAATTGTGTTCAATTTCATTGGCTCCCATCGCGAGGGGGTTTGTTCTCATTGGTTCACAACCTCAATTGTGTCGCGCGGACTTCAGCCTCCTCTAAACTCGGTAACCCGAAAGTCAGGGCGTGAAGTTTTGAAGCCCGAGTTCCACACATGGCTGTTTTCATATTCAAGATTCCTGAATATGAATTCGCCAAACACCATGTTACCACCCGAAGTTGAGCACTCTTTCACAATCAAGGGGAACTGGTGTGCGACAGTGATCCGTGATTGGCCAGCGACACTCAAAGTCTCACAGGGAGAGGGGTCCGCTTGCAATGCAGCACTGTTCACGCTCAGTAAACTTGAAAACCTAAACCTGGTTCACCCGACTTCACGCTCATAGAACTCCTTTGACACACCAAAACTCGTGTACGAACACACGCGGCATGTCCTGCTATATTCTCATTAGTATGGTTAGGATGCTGGTACACCACGTTCAGATGGCAACTGTCGCGACGTCGCAACGCCTTCTGTTCCAGCTCCCATTACTCGCATGCAAGCGAGGTCGTTGACAATGCGCCTCGTCGCCCTGTTTCGGATATTCACCCACGCTTGCAACGATCTGTACTTGGCAGGGTAACGCGGACCTTTCCGAAACCATGTGCTTTACTCCGCGCATCGCCGTTCAGTGTGAGGTTTGAGTAGACTCATCCCGCCAACTCGCCGTTCGTCTTTGTAGTATCCATCGTCCAGACCTTGGGTCCAGTGGTAGATGACCCATTGTTAGTACAATCCGTACACTCCACATCGACCCATGCACCTACAACGTCTACGGGTAGGAATAATCTCCGAGTAATACTGGGAAGAAGGGAAGGGGATGGGGGGAAGCAGGGAAGGGGATGGGGGGAAGCAGGGAAGGGGATGGGGGAAAGCAGAGTAGGGGATGGGGGGAAGCAGGGAAGGGGAGATGGGGAAGCAGGGAAGGGGATGGGGGGAAGCAGGGAAGGGGATGGGGCAAAGCAGGGAAGGGGACATGGGGAAGCAGGGAAGGGGATGGGGGAAAGCAGGGAAGGGGATGGGGGGAAGCAGGGAAGGGGATGGGGGAAAGCAGAGTAGGGGATGGGGGGAAGCAGGGAAGGGGAGATGGGGAAGCAGGGAAGGGGATGGGGGGAAGCAGGGAAGGGGATGGGGCAAAGCAGGGAAGGGGACATGGGGAAGCAGGGAAGGGGATGGGGGAAAGCAGGAGTAGGGGATGGGGTTCGACTAGTTGTGTTTAGTCGCAGCAGAGACAGTTGTGGCTTTGACATTTGCTCTCTAAACCTCTAGATGGTGACGCAGCAGAGTAACAACAAGTGCGCAGCAGAAGAGACAGTAGGACAAGTGACGCAAGATATTGCGACCGCAACCATACATCACATGCGCTGTGCTAGGCAACGGGAGCACGTGATGATCATCCTGCGGTACGAGTCAGATATAGTTGATATGTCAATGCTGGGATTGAGGCTCCAGAAATGGATGTGTGTCTTACAAGGAGAGGGTGCGTTGTTCTGTTGTTCCTGGCAGCCTTATGGATGGATGACAGACAAGTCCTGTGCCCCAATCGCAGCAATGCGTCTTACCTATATCGATGGGAAAGAGATGATAGTGGGGGAGTTGAAGAGGCAGCGGCACCAAGTGCTGCGGTGCCAGCGGCACGAGTTAGGCATGCAAACCCAAACAGATAGACGATGTGACAGTAGCAGTGACACCCACATGCTGTGAGATGAGCAGCAGTGGTCACATGCATTGAACTGTGAAGAATGACCTCATGTTATGACATGAGAAGAAGTGATCACGTGCTACGACATGCGTAGAAGTGACCACATCATCTCTGACATTACTAGTAGTAACCGGAAGGCTGTGACATGGGCAGCAGTGAATACATGATTTTCATTGAGTGGCAGTGACCATGTACGGTGACATGAGCGGTTTGGGTATGCCCCACATGAAGAGTAATGAGCAGCAGCGACCGCATGCCGTGCGATCGCCAATCACTGGTGACCACTGTCCCTGTGACTGCACGAGGCCCGTCGTGTCACTGTGCATGCTTTACCCTAATCCCTTTGACGCCCTCTTACAGGTTCTGTATTTGCGTTGCTTGTTGTGATCCCCGTCGCCCTCTAACCGGCGAGTCCCTTTCCCAGCATGATTCGCGTTTACTCACACGCTAGTAAACCGTTGTAAGCCGCCAGGCTTAGGGGCAGTGAAGCTGTTGGAAGCTACTAAAACTCTACTTCCAAATTACATTGGCTGCATGGCTGTTTCCGGATGACGCGAGCATACTACCATTCCGTCCTTCCTTCGCTAACGAGAGCGTATGCTTGCCTGAGAACGACCCCTCTCATTTTCACCAATGGGCCACGAGTCTCACATCTATTACGAACGTTCAGCGTAAACTTTGCCTTGAGCGCTTGAATGCTGACGTCTCCTGCGACGCGGTACAATGGTCCGGCGACGTGCTTTGTTGTTGTATCACCCTGCCGAAGTGCGTGCATGGTTGGTAGTCGAGGGACCTACCTGTGCTCCCTTGTTACAGCTCGTATTTTCACGTGGCTGACGCGTTCGGTGTGCAGGGGTCGCCCTCTCCCTACCTACCTGCTGCCGTCGCGCTCAACTAGCATTCTTTACCAAGCGTAACACGTCCCTCTTTCGTGTGTTTGTTCTCTCCCCGTTTGTTGTGTTGGTGCTTCCACAATCTTCTTGCTAGGGTGTATTTTCAGGGGACTGATTGGCTGCGATGCCACCTCTTTCCGAGTCGCGTGCATTTTGCTCACATCTACGCACGTGGCTTCGCTTTCTTGCCCCCTACACCCCCCAACCGAGTGGTGCAGTGTCGCACAGGTGGGTGACGAGTGCAGAAGCTCGTCGCGGCCTGGTTTCGCTTTCGCTTCTGTTCAGCTGCCGAAATACATTGGTTTAGCTTTTCGCGACCACATTTAAAGCCCTGAGGTGACTGTAGTAAAAACCATGCTGACCTCAGGCTTTAAAAGCTTGACGCGCGCGGCTTGCAATTTGGGTCAACGGCCTTAATCTCCCGCCTTGAACATGAGCACATAAACAGGCCCTCCTGTCCCCTTATAGGTATTTCTTATTGACCCAACACATCGTGCCATCGAACACACCTTAGTGTTTTTTACTAACTGCTTATTGAGCACGGTCTTCTGTGACATCATTGAAGGTTGCTGTGCTGACTTCAACAGTTTTGTACAATGCTCCCAAAATCATAACACAGTATGTAATCAAAGCAGTTTGGTTACAAGTAAAAGCATAGAGGCAATAAATCCATGCATGGTACCATCTAAGCAATGTACGTTGGGTCAAGTGTGCAGCCAACTTCTTATAGGCGATGCGGGAAATGTGACGGTGCTGGCAGGTGACGGGGAGGATAGGCGAGCGAGGAAAGGGTGCACGCAGCAGGTCGCCTTTCCTGGACACAGCGCCCCAAACCTGAGGGGATGGTGGCAAGGAGGGATGGGGAGAGAAGGGATGCTGAGAGGAGGGCGGGAGGGTAAGCAAGGGAAGGGAGCGAAAGGAGGGGATGCAGTCGCGGAAAGGAGGGGAAGCAAGGGGGGGAAGGAGAGGAAGCAAAGGGGGGGAAAGGAGGGGAAGCAGTGGGGGAAAGGAGGGGAAGAAGTGGGGGAAACCGGGGGAAGGAGGGGAGGAAAGGAGGGGATTCAGCAGGGGAAAGCAGGGGAAGCACGGGGGGGAAAGGCGAGGCAGAGAAGTTGGGGAAAGGAGGGGAAGCAGTGGGGGAAACGGGGGGAAGGAGGGGAAGCAAGGAGGGGAAAGGAGAGAAAGCAAGGGGGGGAAAGGTGGGGATGCAGGGGGGGAAAGGTGGGGATGCAGGGGGGGAAAGGTGGGGATGCAGGGGGGGAAAAGTGGGGGGGGGGGGGGGGGAAGGTGGGGATGCAGGGGGGGAAAGGTGGGGATGCAGGGGGGGAAAGGTGGGGATGCAGGGGGGGAAAGGTGGTGATGCAGGGGGGGAACGGTGGGGATGCAGGGGGGGGAAGGTGGGGATGCAGGGGGGGAAAGGTGGGGATGCAGGGGGGGAAAGGTGGGGATGCAGGGGGGGAAAGGTGGGGATGCAGGGGGGGAATGAGTTCAAGCGTGTGGAGGCCTTACGAATTTCGTGTATTGGAGAAATCCGTGAGGCGAGCAGCGCGTTACTGGTGGCTGCAGTAGGATGGCTGGCAGGCGCGCTCTTTTGGATAGCATTTCGCTGGAGCGCGCGTGCGTGCAACCGAATGCTGTATGCTGGCGCATCTAAGCGTCACATGCGCTCGCTGTGCTGGCGCGCGCGCTATGCAGGAGCGTGCCGCTTTGCTGCGCGCGTTTTGCTGGCGCGCGCAGCTCTGCCGCTATGCTAGCGCGCGCGGAATGCCAGCCTAGAGCGCGCAAGCGCCGCGCGCGGAATGGCAGCGTAGCTGGCGCAAGTCCAGCTCGCGGAATGCAAGCATAGCTGGCGCCTGTGACGCGCGCGGAATGCCAGCATAGCTGACACGCACGACGCACACGGAGTGCCACCATAGCTGGCGCCAGTGACGCTCGCAAGCGTCGCCTGTTCTGCACATGGCTAAATACTCACCCGCGTCTACGTATGTGGTCGCGCTGCTGGTCTAGCACCCTCCGGCCCGTGCCTAAGTTGTTTGTACCTAAACTATTAGGTCATTCTCTGTAGTGTGTGACGGGAGGGCTTTCCCATTTCGTGACTGACAACCAACCTAACCCTGCTTCTTTCGCCAACACACTCGCAATTCTGTTTAAATTTTCGTTGAGGCGAAATCGCCTGGAATACTGTACAGAAACAACAGTGCTGCCAAATGTAAACTGCTGTTTTTAACACTTGGGCCCTGATCTGTGGCCCCTTAACTCAGAGTTAACTAGTTTCGAGGGGTTTTTGTTAACTCAAACCTAACACGTGTGTACGTTACAATCACACCATGCCAGCTAACTCTGAGTTAGCAAATAAGGGCCACGTCTACGCAAAGTAACAACTCAGGGTACGCTCCGTAGGAAGCTTGCGGGGAATCTTCTTTCACGGGCAAACTAACTCAGAGTTAGTGCTCTCGCTTACTTTGGCTTTTGGGGTGAAACTCAATACACTACTCAGAGCGCGATTCGAGCAGGGAGGACCTAGTATAACATCAATTTGGTAAAATTTCTGACACATTCACCCCGCCCGACCAACTCCCGCCAATCTTTTTTTTATTGTTTGCCATCCTGCCGTAAATGTTTTTTTTCATGCGATCGGGGTAGTTAGGGCAATTCTGAAACTTTTTACGATAGAGCTCGAGAACCTCCACGGAACTTCCTTAACTCGGAGTTACGAGGGGCCACAGATCACCCACGTGAGTTTACTACTCAACATTCACACGAGCGTAATGATGCCTTGTCGGTGTACTCATCCGAGCCTACACGGCTCGGTAACTCAGAGTTAACTATGAGTTAGGGACACAGATCAGGGCCCTGGATTTCTGTTCGTTTACATCTCGGCGTAGCTGTAACAAGTTTAGAGCGTGTCCGAAGTGAAGCGTCGAATGGATGTTGATGGATGTCGGTAAATGTCAACCCTCGGATCGAAAGTTCCAACCGTCAAGATTTACCGACATCGGATATCAACGGATGTCGACTTCACTTCGAGCCCGCCCTTACGGACTGTTTTCTTGGAGCGGGGGAGAAAGTGCGCTCCACTGTTATTTCCTTGGCGTTTACTCGGCACATTTCCGACTTTGTCAGGTTGCAGCAGCACGACGGACGACCGCGATTCCTTCATCGAAATGTACGGCTCCTAACCTTCGCGATTGAATTTCGCGTCCGCAGCTTCCCTCCAAAATCGCGTCAGCCTTCGACCGTCAGATCCACATCCGCTTGATCTACGGCCCACATTCCAACTTCTACTTCATTTTGGGCCAGTTCTTCCGCAGCCGTCAGATTGAAATCTGAATACATCGACGGCCTACATTCCAACCTTTTCAAAAATATTGTCAAAGGCATTTCGGCCGTCGGATTCAGCTGAAGGGGAGATCCACGGTATCCTTGCTAGTGTGGGGTCCGTTTTCAGTACAGGGCTAGCTTATTTAGAAGGTGGGATAGTGTAAGGATTTACAGAACCCTTACTGAGGCACTCTTTAGCGAGGAAATCCCGAGGGTCATGCGACGAACCTGTCCTTTCTATTTCGTCGCACCGAACCACTCCCGAGTCGCCTCCGCACCAGCCGCAACCATCACCGAGCCATCCTCGCCCAACCTCCCTGCCTAGCTAGGGTCCCCTATTTAGGCCTCGTCACTTCCATAGTATCGTCATTCAGTACTCAATTATTCTCGATATTCGTTTTACTGCGCACTCAGCAAGTTCATTCATAACAACCTCCAATGTTCGCGTAAACGGTTGGCTCAAAAGATGGTGCTGACCAATGACAATCACGCAGTTTGTCGTCGGCCAATACGACCTGGTAACCGCATTGTTGCGCGACGTTCAATCTGAACCTTCACTGACCTGCCACTCGGTTCCCAACACCGAACGAACTTAGCGAGAAGCGCGCTTCGTTCTTGGGCAGTACGGAACGGCGTATCACCGCATGAGCAACTGCCATGGAGGTGTCGCGCGCCATCGCTCTCAACAACGCCCCGCCGCCTCCCTCCTTGCATCTCGCGCCGCTGCAGCGGCGAGCAGCGTCGGATGCGGCGGGCCGCGGCAGAAGTAGCGGGTGAGTTGGCATGCGCGCGAGCAGGGCGTGAATGGCAGTGCAGCAGTGGTGAGCGTGCAGTGGCAAGGCCTCACTCCGCCACTGCACGCGCCGCCGCCGCTCATTCTCTCCCTCTCGCTGAACCTCGTTCTCCCACCGTTCCGCAGCCCACCTCTCCCCCCTCCACCACCTTCCCCGCAGCGCCTCTTCCCTCTCCTCCCGCATCTTCCGTTCTTCTCCGCCCCTCGTCGGGTCATCCGCTCGCCTCGCTCTCACGGCCCACCCACCCACCGCCCGCTCCCTCTCCACCGCTCTCATAATCCCTTACCCCTCCTCCTTCCCGCTTTCCCCCATTCTTCCCGCTTTCCCCCATTCTTCCCGCTTTCCCCATTCTTCCCGCTTTCCCCATTCTTCCCGCTTTCCCCATTCTTCCCGCCCAATCAACCTCCAGCCTTCCGTCTCTTTCCTCTCGCCCTCTCCGCACCTCACTCTGCGCCTCCCGCCCACGTCTTCCTGTGCACCCCGCCCTGGGGGAATGCCGCGCCTCAGGGCCAAGGGGGAGCGGAGGGGCGCAGCCAGGGGAAGAGCGTCCGTGGGGGGCACAGCAGGCGGAGGGGGAGAAGGAAGGGACTCGTGTTGGGGGAGGGAGGCGAGAAGGGGTGGTGGTGAAGGCAAGGGGGGGTGGGGCTGGAGATGGGGGTGCGGGAGCGGGGCAGGATAACGATGGGTTGGATGCGGTGCTGGCGAAGGTCGTGTGGGCTGGCTTTGGCCTGTACATGCTGTGGCTCTTCGTGCTGCCATTCGCTCCTGTGAGCCCTTCTCTTCTGCCCATTCCTACAACTAGTGTACCCTTGTGCCACAACACCCAGCACCGCCACATGCTGCTCCCTCACCCCATCGTCTCCCTTGCTCACGTCTCTCACCCTCGCACTCCCTCCGCGCCATGCATCAATGAACCGCTCCTCTTCTCCCCTCTCGCGTGCCTCTTTTCCCCTCTGGCTGCGTGGAGTGGATGTGCGGCATGGCAGGGCGACCCAGCGTGGAGGATAAGTGAGGGCACGGTGCAGGAGGTGAGGGACCTCTCGCTCAACTTCTTCTACATCCTGCCCGCCCTCAACGCCGGTGAGCTGTGGTGGGTGCAGTGGGCATTGCGTTGTTGGTGGTGCTTCGTCTCTTGGCCTTACCTCCAGCACAACAGCATTTGCCAATCACCCCTTACATTTGCCACTCGTTTCTCTCTCTCCCATATTTTTCTCCGTCTCTTCCTCTCTCCCTGCAACCCCAACTTTCATGCCTGATTTTCCTGCAGCGGGCATTCATGTGCTGGAGGCACCGCAACTGCACCCTGTCAGTCCCACTTGTCTCTACCCAAGCCCACCCGTCCTTCCTCTCGCTCATCACCCTCACTGCCCCCCTCTCTTTTTCTCTCTTCCCCAACCTTCGCCCTAACTCTCTCTGTTCCGTTTTATACTCCCTCCCTCTTTCTCCTGGCGTTCTCTTTCTCTGTCTGCTTCCACGCCGTGCCTTCCAATCTGTTGCCCCTGCTTCCACCACATGCAACCAGTGGCACCACACCACAATCTCCACGGCCCTTTCCTTTTATGCCATTGTGCGCACATCGTCCACCCGCACTGCCCAACATATCCGCCCACTCCACCCTGCTCTCATCCCCACGAGCACCTCTTGGCCCGTCGGCCGGCCTCGCTGCATCGGATTGCCTCTAAGCGCGTGCACCCATGACCCTTCCCCCTCGCGGGGAGCGGGCACCAGGTGGCGGAGGCGCTGTTCAACGTGGTCAACGCCTGGAGCCTGCTCTTCGGTCCGCTGCTGCTCGCCGACCCCAGGCGCACCCGCGTGGGCGCCAACCTGCCTGCGCTCTGGCTGGGCCAGATGTTCCTCACTAACGGTGCGCTGCAGGGGCACGTGCGCCAGGTGCTGGGTGGAGGGGGATGAGGGCAGGAAACACCAGGTGGTGGGGGAAGGGGGAAGGGAGAGGGAGGGGACGAGAGGAATCCAGCACCTCGCTTCTAGGCATTTCCTTTCCTCATGCATCCCTCATTCCATTCTTCTCCTCACCTCTTTCCCATGCGCCCCCCTCCTCACTCCTCTCCCCCCAACCCTACCTGCACCACCCCCTTTCCCAAACCCCCTCCCCCCCCCCCAGTGTTCCTCATCCCCATCATGGCCCTGCGCCTGCGCCCACCACCCCCGCCCCACTCCGCCACGCCCCTGCGTCCTGCCGCGATCGCCACCTTCCTCTCCTCTGCACCGCTGCCCATCGCCCTCGTCTCCTCCACCGTCGCCCTCGCATCGCTCTTCTGGGCGGCCCTCGCCCGCCCCAATTTCGCCCCTCCAGACCTCACAGTACGCGCAGCCTTCCTTGCAGACTACCTGGGCAGCAACCGCCTGGCGTACGCGTTCGCATGGGACGTGCTGCTCTACTCGCTCTTCCAGCCCTGGCTCATTGCGGATTGCCTCTCCGCCCTGCGCCGCTCACGGCCAGCAGAGGCAGCACGTGGGGATGAGGGGGGAACGACGTCTGGGGATTATGATGCGCTGCTGGCGCTGCTGCAGTGGGTGCGGTTTGTGCCGCTGTTTGGGCTCGCTGCGTTCCTCTGTGCGCTGCCACGGCTGAGAGCCACCAGTGAATCGCAAGGGCAGGAGTGAGCGCAGGGGTTGGGGTGCTTGTAGGTGGGGGATGGGAGGGGTGGTGGTGGGTGGGAGGAGCAACGGCGCGATGTATGTGCTGGTGGCAGCAGCAGGGTGTTGAAGTTGTGCTGGTGGTTGTGGTGGGGGGTGGAGATCAGGTGTGCATATGATGTTGCACCAATTTTAATTGCAACACCTTGGAGGTGGCAGGAACCAGTATCGGTATGACAGCACGGCTTAGCAGAGTGAAGTGAGTCACGACCTCGATTAGTAAAAGGCCACTTGGCCAACCACATTGGTTGGACTGTGGACCACAAGTCTGCCTGACACCCTTGTCCAAAGGCTGGTTTTTCCACTGCTGTTCCTTTACGGGGTTCAAATTGGCAATGTACCATGGGCGTCAGGCAGTGTACTTGGCCGTCATCCAAATGTTCAAATCAAACTACCAGTACATGGCTGGCTGGGACACACGCAACTGAACCCAAATGGAAATGACAGGCTGTACAATGATATCTGCTGTAGTCTATCATGCAACTTGTTAAACAGCTGTTCCCGCTTGAGCACACAGCAACGCAAGTTACCCTAAACCTAACAGCAAGCACAAAGGTGGTGGGGGGGCACATGCTGGAGAGAAGGCAGGTAGCACCTGCAGCACCCATGTGAACCGTGCGGTGCAGTGCGGTGCCTTTCTCCAACAGCTGTGTGGCGCAAGAAGGCCCTCTTGACGTGCATGGGTGCAAGCAGCAAGGCACGGGTGAGTGGCGCGACTGTGAGCAACGCGCCCTTGAAGCTGGGCTCACCATGTGCCGTGCCTGTGTGTGTCTGTGCATGCCGTGGCAGCAAGGCGGGGTCGGGCAGGCTCCGGGCCCACGGGCCTTGAGGAGACCGCCGTCATATCGCCCTCTGCGCTCAACCCCCTGCTGCGCCACCCCCTGGTAGACCAACACCCTTGTCACAGTGGGTGTCTACCAGGTTGGATCAGCAGCCCACGCGTGTGCTGCACACCCGCTGCATCTTCCACCACACCTCCGTTACAACCCCTCTCTCTCTCTCTCTCGTTCTATTCCACTCCCTGCCTGCACGTGCACACCACGCATGACAGCTCATGTGTGCCCACGGCGTGCAGCAGTGCTAGGCAAGAGAGGGCGCGAGGGGGGGGAGGAGTGGGGAAGAAAGCAGCGGGCGCTTAGCCTCAGCAGCCGGTCTTGTAGGGGCTGAGGCCGGAGCGGCGGGTGACGCGCAGGGAGGTGAACTCCTCGCTCATGGTGGGGTGGATGCCCACCGTGGCATCAAAGTCCGCCTTGCACGCCCCCATGCGCATCGCCACCGCGTACCCCTGCCGTGTGAAACGAGGGAGGAGGCGGGAGTTGGGTGGTGAGTGCAGGGGGGTTGCAGGGCAGGTGCAGATAAGGTTCCAGGGGCGCCGGGTACGGAAAGTAACGGGGTGAGAGAGGACTTTCATGCGCCTGCCAACAATATGCCACGTCTCTCAGTGTTAGGCTGGGCCAGGCACGCAGTGTGAGGAGTGGTGTAGTGGCATCGCAAGCAAGGCGGTTAGCAGTGAGGTGACAGTTGAGCGAGTAGCAGTACACAAGGTGCCCCGCATATCCCAATCCGCCAAGTACTTGGCACCAGTCTCTGCCAATCTCTACCACCCTTCCTCAATGTCAGATCCCCCCAACCTCCCCCCACCCCCCTTCCACTGCCCTCCTCTTAACCCCTCGCCCTGTTGCCCTTGACCCAGCGCACCTGAGTGATTTCCCCCGCGTTGGGTCCCACGACGTGCAGCCCCAGCACGCGGTCGCTGTCCAGCTTGTTGCACACCAGCTGCTCCCACGCACGGCTCACACACACACACACAGCCATGCACACACGCATTGGGAGAGCAATGCAGAAATGGGTTCGTTGAACTGAGGAGCGAACGTGCAAAACTCTCTCGCACAGAGCACCACAAGGACGCAGGAGCAGCATCACAGTGAAGCAGCTGCCATTGCCCTGACCCTGCGATTCAGCTGCCCCTAACTCCCGCACCGCACATCCCCCCACCCCACGATTGCGCCTGACCCAGCAGCGAGCGCCGTGCAAGAATGGCGTGTGGTGTGTGGTGATGAGCGCGCACCTTGGCATAGCACACGTTGTCCTCGCGGTGCGACACGCCGTTGCTCTCCTCGTGGTTCACCTGCCACTCCAAAGGCTTGAAGTACGAATGGTACACCTGCCATGTCGTGCCATGCCGCGGGGAGTGGGTTGGGGTGGGGTGGAGTGGAGTGGAGTGGGGTGCGTTGCAGATGAGGATGAGGCTTGGCATCACAGCAGCAGGGATGGGCAGCAGGGACAGTGTGTGCAGGCGAGGGTGATGTGAATGAGTGGGATGTGCACAGCAGGGCGTGGTAGGAGAGGAAGTGGAAGTACAAAAATGCAGACAATACACACTAGCCATGTGCCATGCCATAGCAGGATCTCTAGAGGAATCAATATGCAACTGGATCAGAACAGGAATGCGTAAGACAGCGTGCACTGGCGGAAAGGAAAAACATGCAGTAAGCAGTGCACTGCGAGGCACGGCATGGCAGGGCATGGCATGGCAGGGCATGGCATGGCAGGGCATGGCATGGCAGGGCAGGGCATGGCAGGGCACGGCAGGGCATGGGTGGAATGGGCAATGGCGGGAGGGGCGGGGACCTCGATGTTGTCGGGGCCATAGGTGGCGATGGCGAGCTCCTCCGCCATGCCTATGCACCCGTACTCCAATGGCGTGAACACCGTTGTTGGTACCTGCCAGGCCATGTGCCATGCACACACGCACCAACACCCACACCCACACCATGACACCCCCAAAACCCCCCACCCCACCACACCACAACCCCAGCCTCCCTCCACTCTCGCACAGCACAGCACACAGCATGCAACTCACACATTCATTCATGCAGGCGTGAGAAGAGGTGTGGGGAAACAAAGTGGTGTGTGCAGAGTGAGGCGAGTGGAGGTTTGAGGCGGCTGCCATAGCTCACCACTGCACACCAACCCACACACACAGAGCATCAATGCACCGCCCACCCATCCATCCCAGCCTCGGCTCTAAACAGCCCACATACCCTCCCCGTTTCCCAGTCACTGCTCTCCATCCCCTCGCATCAACCCCAACCCTGTGCACACATAATCCCTTTCTCCTCCTTATCCCCCCCCCCCTCCCCCCCTCCCATTTCTTCCCCCTCTTCCCCCGTGTGCCCCCCCCACCAGGTTGTAGTCCATGCGCTGCGCGCTGCCGGCGAAGAGGCGGTGGGCCAGCAGCTGGCCCGCCTTGATGGCGACGGGGGTGAGCTCCTGCCGCGTGTCCAGCACGTCCCCTATCGCGTAGATGTGCGCTGCCGACGTCTGTGTGCGCGCCCGCATGGGCAGCACGCATGCAGGCATGCATGTAGGCAGGAAGGCATGTAGGCAGGCAGGCATGTAGGCGGGCAGGCATGTAGGCGGGCAGGCATGTAGGCAGGCAGGCATGTAGGCAGGCAGGCATGTAGGCAGGCAGGCATGTAGGCGGGCAGGCATGTAGGCAGGCAAGGCATGAAGGCGGGCAAGGCACATGCAGGGAGAGCCAGAGACAGAGCAGGGGGAGGAGAGGGGAAAGAGGACGGGAAGGGGCAGGAACAGAAAGAGGAGGAACGGTGAAAGAGTGAGGTGGAGAGCAGGGAGGCCGTGGGAATGTGTTGATCGCCATGGCCGTGGGAATGTGTTGATCGCCATGGCCGTGGGAATGTGTTGATCGCCATGGCAAGCACGAGGGGAGAGGGTGGAAGGCGACGCACACAAGCAGCACAAGCACATGCTCACTCGCATACACCCCTCAATCCTTATTCCCAACCCACTCTGCTTCACTCCCCAGCTCCCGCTCTCCCACTCTCCCTACTCCCTTTCCCTTTCCCTCTCCCCCGGTCGACAGCTCTCCAGTGCCATGGCGCCATGGCCCCCCACCTGCTCGTCCGGTGCGATGATCTTGCCAGTGAGGGGGTTCACGTCCACCCCTGCTGCTGCCAGGTTCTGATGCCACACACGCACACGCACACGCACACGCACACGCACCACATACACACACACGACACATGAGAAACGGGGGCAGAAACACAGAAACTTTAGCAGCCATTTGATGGTTTGGGATAGGGAAAACGCATGGAGTGGGCTCCGTTGAAAACGGAGAGACGCCGGGAAACGAAAGCTAGTGATAAAACCGAAAAAGGAGGACGAGGGAGAACGGTTGTGGGTGGGGAAGCGAGGGGGGAGGGCGGTGGTGGAACGGGGGAAGAGGAAGAGAGAGCCACGGGGGACAAGATGGGCGCACGGGGCGAGGGGCAGGCCACGCGGCAAGCACGAGCAAAGGGCAGTGCGGACGAGGAGGCATGTGCGTGAGGAGATGCGCGGATGGGCAGCCGCAGCGCACCAGTTGTTGTGTTTGGGCGTCACGCCCCACTGCGATGACGACTGTGTCAAACTCCTCCCTGCCCTCCGCTCCCGTGTCCATGCGCTTGTACGTCACTGCCACCTGCTCTCATACACACACACACAGGAGGCAGGACGCGACGGATGCACGCACCGACAGATCAAGCGAGAGCGGGAGGGAGGGAGGGAGGGAGGGAGGGAGGGAGGGAGGGAGGGAGGGAGGGAGGGAGGGAGGGAGGGAGGGAGGGAGGGAGGGAGGGAGGGAGGGAGGGAGGGAGGGAGGGAGGGAGGGAGGGAGGGAGGAGGGAGGGAGGGAGGGAGGGAGGGAGGGAGGGAGGGAGGGAGGGAGGGAGGGAGGGAGGGAAGTGGAGGGAGAGAGGGAGGGAGGGCGTGAGGGAGGGAGAGAGGGCGTGAGGGAGGGAGGGAGGGCGTGAGGGAGGGAGGGAGGGAGGGAGGGAGGGAGGGAGGGAGGGAGGGAGGGAGGAGGAGAGATGAAAGGAGGGGTGATACAGAGATGAGGGGAACAGCGGCAGGTAGAGTGCGGTGGCATGTGAGCGCAAGGGGCATGCACGCAGCACCAAGAGTGAGGGCGTGGGTGCACAGCAGCGGGCATGGTCCGTCACCACCATGTGCAGTCTCTGCACATACAGTCTCTGCCCGCCCACCCAAACAACCACACATCCCTCCAGCCAGTCCCCTCTCTCATCCCCCTCCTCCCAGCCTTCACAACTGCGTGCCTCCACACCCAGCTACGCAATCAACAACCCTCTGTGCCAATCTGCCTCTCTCCTCCCTCCCCCATCATTCCTTCCCCCACCTCCACCCACCTTGCCATCAGCAGTGCGGTCGAATTGGGTGGGCACAGCGGGGCGAATGAAGGAGACGCCGTGCCGCTCCATGTACAGCCCTATGTGCTCAGCCACTTCCTGCCCCCGGGGAGGAGGGGGCGGTGGGCGTAGGAGGGGTGGGTGGGGAAAGCGCAAGGGAACGGAAGGGGAAAGGGATAAGGCGGGAGGAGGGATGAAGGAGGTGGTGGGTCTTATTACGGCAAGAGGCACACAGCGGAATCCACGCCAGGCGCCCATAAGCACAGCCTCTGCCCTCAAGGGGCTGCGTACTCCCTCCTCCTTTTCCTCCCAGCTGTAACAAGAACAACACCGCCAGCTCTAGCACCTGCGCCGCTGGCGGCGATGGTGGCAGCGGCAGCAGGATCGCAGAAGTTATCCGCAGGGGAGTAGGGCGGCAGGGCAGCAGGGGTACTAGGGATGAGCAAGAGGCGAACACGAACGTGTTCGCGTTCGCCCCTGCAGAAACACCGCCGTTCGGCGAACCGAACACTGTTCGGTTCGCCGAACGACTTCCCCAAGGGTGTTCGCCGTTCGCCTGTGAAGGCGAACGCCTTGTTGCCCCAGGACTACATTCACCAAAATCACACGTTTGTGGATTGTGCATTGTTGACATTTGTTAGGTGGCTGAAGGTCCAAATAGAGTAAAAATCAAATCGTTGCACATTCCCTCCCCCCACCCCCCAAGCCAGCCCCACCCTGCTTCATCCATGCTAGTGCCAGTGTAAGACGGCGAAATGCTAGATCGGCACTTTAGCAACGGCGGAATGCTTGATCTGCACTTAAGCAACGGCGAAATGCTCGATCTGCACTTAAGCAACGGCGAAATGCTCGATCTGCACTTAAGCAACGGCAAAATGTTTGATCTGCACTTAAGCAACGGCGAAATGCTCGATCTGCACTTAGGCAACGGCGAAATGCTAGATCTGCACTTAAGCAACGGCGAAATGCTAGATCTGCACTTTACTGACGGCGTAGTGCTAGACCTGCACTTAAGTAACGGCGAAATGCCCAAACTGAGCCCAAACACCAAGGCCCGCGACCTAAAAACTGGTCGCGGGCCTATTCGTCGACGAACACATTGGTGTTTGTCGAAGGCCCGTGTCGAACACGAACACGTTCTGTTCGACGCGCCTCGGCCAGCTGAGCCGGGCGAACAGCGGACGTGTTCGGGCAAACACCGAACGTTCGCCCCGAACAATTTAGGCAAAAAAAAAATCATGTTCGAGGCGAACCGAACAGGAGGTCGTTATATTGCTCATCCCTAGCAGGGGTTGACCTGGTCGAAGCCGCGCAGGAGGATGGAGCGCGGCATGACGGAGACGGGGAAGCCCAGCCCCGCCAGGAAGCCCGCCGTCTCCAGCGAGATGTAGCTCGCCCCCACGCACAGAGTCTTCCCCGGCGCGCGCTGCAGTGAAAAGATGTCGTCGCTGCAGGGGAGGCAGGAGGTGTGCACGTGGGTGGGTGAGGGGAGGGGGGAGGGTGGAGAGGGTGACGGGAGAATGGGGGAAAGGGGAAATAAAGGGGAGGGAAAGGGCGGAGGGAAGAGGGGAAAGGGAAACGTGGAGAAGAGAGGAGAGGAGAGAAGGGAGAGGGGGGGGGGAGAGATGGGATGGCAGGGAGATGGGAGACAGGCGGCACAGCACAGTGGAGGGCAGGAGAAGGGCAGGGAGGCACAACGGGTCAGGAGATGAGATGGGAAGCAGCAACACAGAGACGCGGCCGGGATGTTATCAACTTGAGTTGGCAGCCTCACGCCCCCAACAGCCACACTGCACGACCCATAGCGGCACATGCATGCCCCCCCGCCCACCTGGTGATGCAGAGGTCCTTATCCCCCGGCACGCCCAGGTACCGCGGGCGCCCTCCCACTGCTATCACAAAGCGCTCCGCTGTCATGCGCGACACCTGGGGGCAGCAGCAGTGGCAGGGGCAGGGAGTGGGACAGGAGCGGGAAGGGAGGAACGAGGCAGGGCGGGGGGAAGGGGAGGGCGAGGGGGTGGTGTTGGAGGGCATGGGCAATGGCGGTACAGTGGTGGTGCACCGTGGCCCACACCCGTGATGGGCCTGCCACCACGTGCCATGCACGCACGCGCCACAGCTGCTGACATTTCACCAGTGAACGCACCATAAATCAGCTTTATTACAACAGCCCTTTGCCCCTGAATATGATGGAAATCAATTGTTATTAATACTAACCATCCAAGCTCCTAACAACTTTTATGATAACATGAATGGCAGGCAGAGGTGGGGCTGGGATGGGAGGAGGGGAGACAGTGGGAAGGAAGTGCAGCAGGGAGGGGTGGGTAGGAAGGATGCTGGGCGCATGGCAGTGGCGACGAGCGCAGGCGAGACACCATCCCCAACCATTCCCCCCCACTCACATAACATTCCCTCCCCCTGCATGCACGCAACCCCCTCTCCGCCCAATCCCCTCACTCCCCCCACTCCCCATTCCACACTCCCCACTCTCCCCCCTTATCCTCCCCGGGTGACAGCACAGCACCTGGCCGGCGCGAGTGGTGCATTCGAGCGTGTGCGGGTCCACGAAGCGCCCCAGGGCGTTGACGTACGTGACCTTGGCGTCGCGCAGCGCCACGCGGTACCCCCAGTTCAGCGACCCGATGTGGTCCCCCACGCCCTGCACCAGCGCCGCCCTGCCCGCCCCGCGTGCCCCGCACGGACGAGGGGAGTGCGGGGAGGGAAGGGAGCGTTAGGCGGTGGGGTTGGGGGGCGATGGGAAAGGGGGAAGAAGACGAGGGGTTGGATGGAGCAGAGCAGCTTGAAGGGAAAGGAAATCCGACGGGCGCCAAAGGGGGATGGAGCAAAGGAGCACCAGAAGAGGCATAGACTGGGGGAAATGGGGGAGGGGGATCAAGGCGGAGGAATGAGCGGACGCGAGAGCGCAAGGGGTTCATGAAGAGCAGTGGCGGTGGCAATCAATGGCGGGCGGCAGGCGGCAGGAGTGGTTATAGCTTACCAGTCGAACTTGACATCGCGTGGGAGGTCCCATCCGAAGGCGCGCGCGTCAGAGAAGGACTCGCCCAACAGCGCTGCTTGATGCATGAGCTTCTTGGGTATGCACCCCACGTTCACACACGTGCCTGCTCGCATGCACGCATGCACACGCACATGCACATGCATACGCACATGCACATGCATACGCACATGCACATGCACACGCACATGCACATGCATACGCACAGCCATGCCCAATCACAAACACACATCCGCGCACACACCGGCAAAGGTACACAACACACACACACACACACACACACACACACACACACACACACACACACACACACACACACACACACACACACACACACACACACATGCACACATGCACACATGCACACATGCACAAAGATATACGTGTGCACGCAGACGCCCATGTGCACACGCACGCACACACGCGCGCACGCACATACGCTCACACGCGCGCACGCGCGCACGCACATACGCACACACGCACATGCAGCAGCACCAGAAGAGGGCGTTGAGCGGAGGGGCTCGCCGAGTCATCTGGAGGGAGGAGTTGCCCAAGTGAGGAGCAACGGCAGCAAGGGCAGGAGCAAGAGGAGCGCGCGTTACCTCCAAGGCCCCACTGTGTGCCACTCGGCGTTGGCTTCACGAAGTCAAGACATGCAACCTGCTCACACGCGCGCACCACACGAGAAAAACATGACACTATTAGCCCCTGCTTGCCGTGGGACGCAGCAACCACGGAAAAGGGAAAACGCCAACGCGACATGGATCCGCGCGCGGGTCGACGCGCGCTAGCAGCAGCGACGCCAACCGCGCGAAGCGAAGGGGCGCGCGCACCTTCTTCCCGAGCTTCGCCGCCTCCTTGGAGCACGCGAGGCCGCCCGAACCCCCGCCGATGACCACCAGATCGTAGTCGTACGCCACCTCGCCGTCCGCAGCCGGTGGCGCGCCTGAGGGGGGAGAGGTGGGACGCGGAAGAAGGCGCAGATGAGAGGGAGCATAAGATGCGCGCTCCGTGGCAGGCGGGAATCGGAAAAGCGGGGAGCCGTCGCGTTGAGACGGGGCACGGTGGTCGCATGACGATCGATGATTAAGCGGGTCCCTCCTATCCTATCCGTGAGTGGAGAGTGAAAGCCGAGTCACGACCGGCAACCAACGTCAAATACCGGAGAGACTCACCTTGCGCCGCCATGGCGAGACGAGTGGCTGCTACGGAACGCGCGCCGTGTGGAGGAAACGGAGCGAGAGCGGCCCCACCCAACCGAGGCGCGAGGCCCGGAAGGATGCGGCTGAGACGACGCCACGCGGTGGCCGACGTGATGGCGGTCGTGCTTAGGGCGGTGATAGCGGCCGCTGTGGTTGTGGTGGTTCGGATGAAATGGATGCTGCCTCACCTGAGCCCTTGCTGCTTGTACCGTGAATGGATTGCAACTACACCCTCATATCCGACAAAGACACACCACTGGTGCACACGGCATGCGACTACACCCCACAGCATACCAATGGCATAGACTTCTAGTTTTGTTTTCCCCAACCCATGAAGCACACTGCATTTACGGTACCCATCCGAACTGAAGCATGCAAACTACCTTTTGCAAGATAGACTAAGAAAGCTTTCACAATTACAATTTTGTAATGATGTTCGCTGCACCAAAATTATACCAAAAAAAACAACAATAACCAGCACAGAACATTGGAATACTGCCCAGCCCATGCTTTAGAAGATGCATCAGTTGAATCTCGTCCCATTATTTTTCCCCATTACAGTAAGTATCCGGGCTAATATGGTACAAGTACACACTCAAATTTTGGGGCCCAACCACAGAGGCCTGGGCCAAGGGTCTAGCTGCACGTGAACCAGCAGGCTGGCCCGGAGCTGGCCCGTCTTGACCCCACAAGTCCCCAGCCCGGTCCGCTTCAAGCACTTTTCCCTGCCCTGCCCCTGCTCATGTGGAGCGTTGAGGGATGCATGTGGCAGGCGCCGTGCCTGCTGTGAACCCTTCATAGCACGCACACTGGAGACCGGTCTGCTCAAACACCCAGTAGCACACGCCATGGCCGCTGCAGTACGGGACATCGGGACTGGTCCCACAGAGGGACTCGCACTCGCTGCTGCTCCTCTGCGTCTGCCCCGTGCCACACAGCACGGAGGTGTTGCTGAGGCAGTTGTGCTCTAGGTAGAGGCGCAGGTTGCTCGCGGTGCAGAGGCGGTGGATGTTGGCAAGAGATTCGTCAGCAGTGCCTGTGAGGAAGTTGTACCCGGCATCGATGTGCCGCACTGACTTCATCAGCTTCAGCGACGGCAAGCTCCCCACCAGCTGGTTGGATTTCAGATCGCTGCGGGACGTGGGGTGGGGGAGGAGAAGTGTGACGCTCATTAACAACAGCTGGCTGTTTAGTGGGGGTTACAAAGAATGTTGCAGAGAAAGAAACGGGTGGGGGAGGTGAGAAAAGAGGGGGCGAGGCATTGTGCGAGGCAATGATGGCGAGGGTGCACTCACAGGACTTGAAGACTACTGAGTGCGCTGAATGCAGCAGGTATCGTCCCTGTCAGGCGGTTGCGAGCTAGGCTCCTGCAAGTGGGGCGACAAACAAATTAGCATAAACACAGCATGGCTGCCTGTGCACATCGTGTTCTAACCGGTGTTGTTATTTGCGTGACGCGACACACATGCAGCATGCATGCACGCAACCAAGTTTCCACAGCAGTGGACCGCACAGAGGGGCATATGTGCGTGGTGGTGGCACGTGACGTGGGGCGAGCTGTGAAAGTGGCAAATGTGAGGCACATTGTTGAGCGTGCACTGACAGGTTGTCAATACTGCTGAGTGCGCTGAGTGCAGCAGGAATGGTCCCTCTAATGCGGTTGGAAGACAGATCCCTGCACGTGGGCGTGCGGAGCAACAGACAGCGATAAGGGCACAGTTAGGGTGCTCTAGGCAGAGCATGCTTCGGTCAGTGGTGTGGCTGTAACATGGCATGCACAAGAGGTCGTTACAAGCAAGTGGTCACTGTAAGAAGCACTTCCACTTGCCCTCATGCTGCCTCTCCCTCTCGCTTCAATTGCCATGCCAAGACAGAGAGAGGTGGCGAGAGAGTGGGCGCACGCACATGAAAGTGAGACGGGTGAGTCTGCCCAAGGATGTAGGGATGATGCCAGCCAATCTGTTGCCGCTCAATTTCCTGCCAAGTGGGACGGGATGGGATGGCGAATCATCATGCTTGCATTCAAGGCTATCGGTGTATTCTTGTCAGCATTCCTTACTCCCTGATGAGGAGCTAACAGTGGTGAGAACAAGAAGCAGCACAATGCACAACTCAGCCTGCCACGGACAGCACAACCGTCTCAATGAAAAGGCAATGCAAGGCAAGGCAAGCTCGCTCTACCTTTTCGCTTTTCCTTGCAAACTTCAAATTGCAAATGGTTCATCGCATACCACTGCGTCTTGGCTTACATCTTGTCCAGGTTGGTGAGTCGCCCAAGTATCGAGGGAATGGGCCCTGACAGCCGATTGCCGCTGAGTTCCCTGCATTGTCACATGGCAGAGAGGGGTACAGAGTGGTACAGTTGGAGTGTGATTGGTACACTGTGGTAGTGATGTATACGGAGTGTGGCATAGTGTTGAGCAGTGCAGATATGCGTGGAGCAGTGGGGGGGAGGGCAAGGAGCACTGGGATGCGATGCATCGAGGGTGGCCCGCCGATGAGCACAACGGTGATGGCAGCCCAGGCAGGGAGCGCTTGCTGTCCCATGTTGTCCCAGGTGTGCGGTAACATGGCATGGAAGAGAAACTCTTGGAAGCAAGCGCCCAAGGGTTCTGAGAATCCAGTGGCAGAGGGGTTTGTGGATCGCCCTGTTGCTTCAACACCGCATGCGTGCGTGACTTGACGCACACACAACGAGCTGTGCTGCCCGTTCGCCCATGTGCCCCTGCCTCCCCATTTCCCCCCTTTTCCAGCCGTTGACCTTCAATCAAAGCCCTTGCCGACCATTGGCATTTATGCCAGCACAGTCGCCCTGGTGACTAGTAAAATCCATTTCTCCATCTCAAGTCCTTGCACCTTGTGTCTATCACCTGCCTTTGGGATGTGGGACCTCTCACAGCCTTGACTCAATTTTCATGGGACACGTGGTGTGGGCAGAGGAGAGAGTGGGCGCACAGTGTGGAGAGACGGCTGAGTCGTGAAAAGGAGTTGGGGATGGTCCAACTCAGATTGTTGCCTGGCAACCATCTGCCATGGGATGCCATGAGGTGGGTGCCATGGGATGGGATGGGATGGGATGGGATGGGATGGGATGGGATGGGATGGGATGGGATGGGATGGGATGGGATGGGATGGGATGGGATGGGTTGGGATGCAAAGGGTGTGACGAGGGCTTGGCTTGCCTGACAGTATTTTATTCCATGGCACGCGCTGGCTCTAGATTCCACGGCTGGCTGGCTGGCTGAGTGCACACACTGGACTGCTTGCACTGTGCTCAACCACACAACGCTCTGCTGCATGCTGGCCAGCACAGCTGCTGCCAGCACCATGGCCATCTCATTCATAGCACGCACTGCCCACTGCCCACTGCCCACTGCCCGCTGCCCAGCACTGTTCAAGCTCAGGTGCCCTCAGCAAGCGCCCAGCGCGTGCAGCACAGGGCAACCCTTGCGATGACATGTGCCTGGAATGGGAGTGAGGTGCAAGCACTCACACTCTCTCGCACTGTTGGTAAGGGAACACTTAAGTTCAGTGACAGGCAAATATCCTTGGCATGTGAACCACAACACACATGCACGTGCACGCTCACCCACCCCCTTACAGAGTCCCACTTGTACAGAGTCCCACTCGTACAGTCCCACTCGTACAGAGTCCCACTCGTACAGAGTCCCACTCGTACAGAGTCCCACTCGTACAGAGTCCCACTCGTACAGAGTCCCACTCGTACAGAGTCCCACTCGTACAGAGTCCCACTCGTACAGAGTCCCACTCGTACAGAGTCCCACTCGTACAGAGTCCCACTCGTACGGAGTCCCACTCTTACAAAGTCCCACTCTTACAGAGTCCCACTCTTACAGAGTCCCACTCTTACAGAATCCCACTCTTACAGAATCCCACTCTTACAGAATCCCACTCTTACAGAATCCCACTCTTACAGAATCCCACTCTCACAGAATCCCACTCTTACAGAATCCCACTCTTACAGAATCCCACTCTTACAGAATCCCACTCCTACAGAATCCCACTCTTACAGCGTTTCCAGGTTGGCGAGGTTGCCCAGTGCACTGGGAAGGGTCCCCCACACCCCAGTGTAACTCAGACCCCTGCCATGCCATGCCGTGAGACAAAATGCGACATGGAAAGGAGCAGAGGAAGAGGACAGAGAGAAGGAGAAGCGCGTGCAGATGAGGTGCATGGGGGGATGAAGGAAGTATGGAGGTGATAGGGATGGACCAGGGAGGAGCAGGTCATCATTGCACAACGCACCTCAACCATGGCCAGGCAAAGCAGAGGCTGCACTGCCACGCACACGTGCTGAGGGAACATGCCCTCACATGCATTCGCCCCTTTCTCTCCCCGCTGCACCCACCATGCACCCACCATGCACCCACCATGCACCCACCATGCACCCACCATGCACCCACCATGCACCCACCATGCACCCACCATGCACCCACCATGCACCCACCATGCACCCACCATGCACCCACCATGCACCCACCATGCACCCACCATGCACCCACCATGCACCCACCATGCACCCACCATGCACCCACCATGCACCCACCATGCACCCACCATGCACCCACCATGCACCCACCATGCACCCACCATGCACCCATGCATGCTCCAGGACAGCATGCATGGTGCAGGAGGGTGAGCGCGCACTCACAGGAGGGTGAGATTAGCGAGCTGGCCAATGGACTGTGGGATGGAGCCCCTGATGCGGCTGTGCGCCCATGATCTGGTGCACCGCACATGGGCATGGCGCATGGCGCATGGGGTATGGGCATGGGGCATGGACATGGGGCATGGACATGGGGCATGGACATGGACACGGGGCATGGGGCAGGGGGGCGCAGAGACGTGCAGTGCAGTCAAGGCAGTGATGCGGATGAGAAGCAGTGCGATGCTTAATGTTGCGGACAGGTGAGTGTAAGGCAAGCACGATACAAGGCATGCAGGATGAGAAGTGCAATGAAGCAGTGCATGGCCGGCAGCGCAGAAGGTGCAGCAGCACAGCACAGTACGCACATGGATCTCAAGCTGGACATGCTGCCTATCCATGCTGGCAGCCCTTCTATCCACCCCGAATCCGTCATTGACCTGGTGCCGTGTGTGGGAAGGGCAGCAGCAGGGGAGGGAGGGATGGAGCAAGAGAGGCAGTGGCACGCATGGCCAATGGGCAGCACTCCAGGCAACCAGACTCTCATGCGCAGACTCGCTGTTTGGTATGGCTGCGCTGTTGTCTGATGACCACGGAACACAGCATCCAGAGCGCCTTGCGCATCATCATGTGCTCAGAATAAGGAAAAGGCAATCAGGATAAAGATAACGTGCTAAGGATAAGGCTGACCGTGTAACGATCACATGAGCAAAACAGAAACAACGAGAATTTCATGTGAGGTGTGTGGACTCTGGAGTGGGGTGGTGAGAGTGAGTGACGGCAGTGCTGTGCCGTGCTGTGGTGTGCATGCACTCACCAGTCGGTGAGCTTCTTGAGCCGTGACAGCTCGGACGGTAAAGGCCCGTTGACAAAGCAGTACACACAGCTCCTGCACCCCACCCCACCCCACAGCACCCAGCTTGCCTTAGTGTGCGTGGAGTGGCAGGATTATGGGAATCATTCTATAAAGGGATATGTGGGAGACGATGGAAAGAGGGTGGGGTCATGGTGGAGTGCACGGGAGGACACGGCAAGCATTGTATGTGTGTGTGTGCATGTCGTTCTTCCACTTGCCTCGCGCTCCTTTTCTCCCCACTCTGCGCCCTCGACTCACAGCATTTGAAGGTTGCTCATATCGCCCAGCAATGGCGGAATGGCCGGCTCGAATCCATTCGCCCCCATCGACCTGACACACACACACACACACACACACACACACACACACACACACACACACACACCCACACACACACGCGCGCGCGCGCGCGCGCACGCATGCACGCGCGCGACAGCACAGGGAAGGATGGGAGCGGGCAGGGTAGCTATGGAATGAAAAACTCTAAAGGTTGGAAGCAAGCAGGGAGGGAGGGATAATGACACGGGAGAGAAGCCGCGCAGCAGGATGTCATACTTGCAAGAAAACAGCTTGTGTGATAGCAGGGAGAGTCGAGATTCGTCAAGAAGTGTTAAGGGCGGAGAGTGGGTGAGGGCACGCACAGGTGCTTGAGGGCAGTGAGGGTGGTCAGCACGCTCGGCAGTCCTTCCAGGCCGTTCGCGTTTATGTGCCTGCAGGCCAGGCAGGCGTGCACACAGTGCAAGGGGGGGAGGGGGAGGCGAGATCTTGACTGGCATGCATGGACGAGCAGTGACGGGCGGGCCATGAGAGAAGACAAGAGAACGTGGCGCCAGTATCTGTGCAACCTTTCCGCACCTCCCCACTTTCAACGAGCCACTCTCGAGCCTCATCATCATCATTGCATGCTTCCCACGGTCCAACCAGCCCATCATGCGCCCATCTGCCCATCCCGCGCCCTCGGCACCTCACTCTCCCACCAACCCACCCACCCATGCGCGCACTGCAACATTCCGCCCGTGGGCGTGCGAGGCACTCACAGAGCAGTGAGGTGCTGGAGGGCGCTGAAGCCGTCCGGCAGCGTCCCCCCCAGCGAGTTGTAGCTCAGGTCGCTGGCGCACCCACCACAAGGCACGCAGGGGGCACGCGGGGTTGAACAGGGTAGGCGGTAAAAGTGAGTTGGTACAAGCAAGGCATGCAGCAGAGAGCATGGGCGATGAGGTAGGCAAGGGGTGCAGAGGGGACAGAAAGGGTTACATGCGCGGAGTCGAAACCAAGTGGCAGCCCATGAACAACAGGTCAACATGTGTGGCGGTGAGTGAACTTCTCAAGGATGCGAGCTAGCCTAAACTAAACAGACTCAGAGAAGGGGACGGAGGGGGAGATGCACAGGAGAGAACGGCAGGGAGAGTGGGGGGTATGGGAGAAGGAGCGAGTGAGAAAGTGATAGGAAGAGAGGGAGCTGACAGGTGCCTGAGCGAGGTGATTCGGCCGAGGTCATCTGTCACGTTGCCCCCGAACAAGTTGCCGGCGAGTTTCCTGCTCACAGGGCCACGGATTGGGCGACGCTCGGTGTGAGGGGTGCAGGTGCGCGGCGCATGAGAGCCTCTGTGACGTGCGATATCAAACCAGACGCCATGGCATGGCAGCGCAGGGAAGCGCAGGGCATGGCATCGCATGGCATGGCATGTCCTTTGATTGGGACAGAAACGGCAAGAGAGGGTTGGTAGGGGTGAGACGGCTGGCAGGGAGGAAGTGCGAGGAAGGGACGGCGAAGAAGGTGGCGGGTTGGCTGGCTGACTGACTGACTGGGGCTAACGCATTGTGCGCAGTGGAAGGGCGGTCGCGGCGGTGGTGACTCACAAGGTTTCGAGAGCACTTGGGATGTTGCGAGTGACGAACGACGACAGCAACGCGGATATGCGACAGCCCGTCAGATTCCTGCTCACACGCATGCGCCGTGCATTCATTCAACACCAACATAACATGGCGTGTGAGTCCCATCATATCCACGGCCACGAATCAATGCGCGCCCTCCATGCCCATGCAGCACGTGAAGGCGTGAAGGGGCAATGGCGGCTGTTAGTAAACGCATGGTTGGAGGGCAGGACGGCATGGAGGGGAGGGCGAAATGGGGAGCAGGGCGAAATGTAAGGCAGGGCGGCAGGGAGAGGAGGGGGCAGCGGATGCCTGACAGGTGCTTGAGGGTGGGCATGGCGAGGATGGCGGGTGGAACGCCTTTGTCGAGGCTGCTGGATGTGATGCTCCTGCGCACACACACACGCGGGTGACGTGGATGCGGGGGACAGGAGGCGCACAGAGAGAGCATCGGGATCACAGAGAAGGGAATTGAGTTGAGGAACGTTGAGAGGTGAAGGAACGTGCGCGTGGTGCACCCATGGTTGGATGTGAGCAGTGGAATCAAATGGGCACTCGACACGCGAGACCACACGGACTGCTAACCACTTCGCACACCAGCACCGATTCCCACCCACCATCGCATGCAATATCACACCCCGCCATACCACACCCCGCCACAGCACACCCCACCATGCCCATGCGGGGCATGCAAAGCGTCGGGCACTCACAGCGACGTGAGGTGCTCCAGCTGCGTAATGCGCGCGGGAACGATGTTCACGCCCTGCACGTCACTGCCAGGGGCACGCATGGGATGGGAGCAACAGGTGAGCGGCAGGCAGCGCGGGAATATAAGCAGGCGAGGTACGGTATCTTGTGTTTGGCAGTGTGCGGTGGGATGTACCCACGCCCGCGGCATATCTGCCGTGGCGTGAGATGCTGTGTGCAGGCATGCATGGAACATGGAGTGGTGCGCTGCTCACATGGCAACGGCGTGCCCCTGTGCGTCGCAGCGCAGGCCTGTGAAGGTGTTGCAGTCCCTGCCGCGGATCCACGTCTTGCACGCCGCAGTGCTGCTCCACGCCACCGCCAGCTCCGCCACCACGCCCACTGCCATCCACCATGCAGGTCGCCGCATGCCATCCACCATGCCATCCACCATGCCATCCACCATGTCATCCACCATGCCATCCACCATGCCATCCACCATGCCATCCACCATGCCATCCACCATGCCACCCACCATGCCATCCACCATGCCATCCACCATGCCACCCACCATGCCATTTCCACCACCACAACGACATTCCCACCACCAAAATGCGCATGCCATGCCATGCCATGCCACGCCATGCCACACATTCCCCCGTCGTGTGGGGAACAATCAGAGTCAGACTGGCAATGTGACAGCAGCACGGAAAGGCACGGGATCGGTCATGCTGGGCCAATGTGAAGACACCAATGACACACGGGGCCGCGCCTCGCTGCTGCCACCACGGCTTACTGTCAGGGTCCATCACGGGTACAGCCCGCGCGACAGGCATGCAGCAGCACGCCACCACCAGCGCCACCACCGCCGCCCTCGCCACCGCCATCGCTCGTACGCGCGTCGCTTGCGCCGTGCGCCACGCGATCGGCGTGTGCGAGCCCAGGCGAGCGGAGAATATCATCGCCGCATCATGCGGCGGCGGTATCCGTGCACGCCGGGGGACCGCCGCGCCGTGCGGCCGTCCCCAACGAGACGCTGCTGCCATCTAGTACTCGGTTCTTAGTGGATCCACGTGCTCGAACAAGTGAGAACCGATGATTCCAAGCGAACGGAATGTTCAGGGTTCAGGGAACAGAACTGAGATCTTGGGCGAATGGACGGAATGTTCCAACGGAAGAATGACTCGTCTCGCCGCTCCTAACTAGTGCATCCATCGTGACTTGCGCCTGACTGCTCTCCATGTTGTGCGGGGGCCGAGACCGAGACTCGCGTGGGGAAGGTGCTATTTGCCGTGCCTCGCTGGCTGGTCGTTGATGTTGCCCGCCAGCGCAGCAACGGAGTGCGAACTCACACGACCTGCTGTGACCAGATAGTCTCCCCCTTCTGATCAGAATTCCTGATCCACCGGTGGACCTGGTTTGACTTGCTGGTTGGTGGGAGCTGAAACAAATCGGGCATTCGATTTTAGCGGTACACCTAAAGCGCGTTCGAGTTCCCCAACTTTGCGCTGTAAAGAAGGCTCTTAAATACTTTTTACATTTCGGCACTATTCGGCGTTTTCGCCACGGCTATGAAGGGTTTATAAAGTGCACGGGAGGTAACCCGTTTGTTTTTAGTACATCTGTTCCGGGTGGCCAGATTTGTAGTTTGCTTGTACATTGTGTTACCACATGTTTCAACACTTCCAATCTCGCCGCATTACATCATCTCTCTCAAATTGTCAAAAACACCCTCATCATCTTACCCCCCAATAACACGCTGACAAGTGTGCACAAGGGCACGCAAGGCACACACCAGTGCCAATTCCACACTTGTGCACGAGATGTGCACAAGCGATGAGCAGAGAACCAAGTTCAGCGTGCATCGGTGGGGGGCCAACTCCACTCACATACTAACCCACTCCGCGGCGTCAACGTAGCCGGTCATGACGGCAGTGACGCCACCTTCCAGCAGCTGCTCGCGGGTCAGAGGTGGCTGCATCATCCAAGCGGGCAGCACACGACCGCGGCGAGGAGCGGTCGCCGCGCCGGTTGTCGTGGCGGGCGCCGGCGCCGGCGGCGCAGGGGTGTTGAGGTTAAATAGCAGACTTGCGCACTCGCGCAACGATGATCGGGTTCCTGATGTCGAAGAGCGCGCACAGATCTCGCGGGGAGATGCAAATTGCGCGCGCCTAGCCGATCAGCATTTCACTTGCTGCGCGGGCCGTGCGCCGAGCCTCACGGGTCGCGAGGTTGTCGTCCTCGTAAACCTCCTGCATGGTGCCCGGCGCTTCCCATGTGTCGGCCGCGCTCCCGTATGTCGGCTCGTGTGCCAAAGGATCCTCGCCCGGCTCCGCGCATGTCGGTTGATGCTCGTCAATGGCGACGAAATCGGCGGCCGCCATGTCGCTCGGGCCGAGCCCGAGGCGATCGATGAGCACTCCGACGTCGCCGATCTCCTCGTCGAGATCGATCTCGGCTCCTGCATTGACGTTGTTGCCGCCGTTCCCCGCGGCGTGATCGACGTGAATGTGAAACAAGTAAAACAGGAATGAGAATGACTATGGGAGGTTGGGTACAAATACAACCCTAGAAACCCTGTACCCCATATGTGCTACCCCACTATAGCCTACAGTAACTATGTCATATAAATCTGACACACCCCCATAGGCAAAGTGGGGGAGAACAAGGGGTCACAAGACCAGTCAAGCAAAGCAAAGCAAGCTCAGGGTGGATCACAAAGTCACCACACAGTCCGAGCACAAGAGTAGGGCCAGAGGCCAGTTCACATGCAGGAGTACAGACATATATATAAAACTAGACAAACAAGAGCAGGCACATATATATGTCACAGTACAAGTGAAGTCAAGAGGAGAGCAAGTGAGGCAAGACAGGCACAAGACCCAACTGGGTGCAAAAGCGCTGATGGTCACAAGGCGCAAGTGCCTTGGTGAACACATCAGCAGTGTTGGCCTCAGAGGCCACGTACGCAAGTCGCAACTGACCACGCTGCTGCAGCTCACGAGCAAGGAAGTAGCGGAGAGCAATGTGCTTCGTTCTGTGCTCCAAGCGCTGCTCTCGACACAAGGCCAGCATAGCCTTGTTGTCTACGTACAGCACTGGAGGAGAACGAGGCGGCTCTCCAAGGTCAGTCAGCAGGTAGGTGAGCCAGCGAAGCTCCTGTGCAGCCATGGCCCCGGCGTAGATCTCAGCCTCACAACTGGAGCCGAGAACCGAAGACGAGCGAGTAGACCGCCACGAGACAGAGCCGGAACCAAGGCTGAAGGTGTAACCCTGTGACGACCGCTGCGTAGCCTGGTCGTCAGCCCAAGAAGCGTCCGCGTGGCCGGTAAGAACCACTGGACTCCGCCCTCCAAGCACTAGCCCCATGCCCGACGTACTGCACAGGTAGCGCAATACCCTCTTCGCTGCAGCCATGTGCTCCGGTCTGTGTCTCCCAGGAGCAACATAGCGTGCAAGAATGCTCAGAGGGTATGCAAGGTCAGGTCGTGTGCAGGTCATCAGGTACATGAGGCAGCCAACAAGCTCTGCATACGGACCACTCGACTCTACGGACTCATCCGAAGGCAGAGCTGAGAGTGAGTGGCGAGTAGGCAGAGGAGTGGCCTGAGGCGAGGAGTACGTGAAGCCGAAGCGCTGAAGGACCTGCTGCACCATGTGTGACTGAGTCAAGGTAATGGTGCGGCGTGCTCTGTCCCGAGTGATCTGCAAGCCAAGGTAGCTGCGCAGTTCACCTAGGTCTGTGCACGTGTGTCTCTTCAGCAGCTCGGACTTCACGTAGGCGAGTCCAGCAGTGTCTGCTGTGGCAAAGACCAAGTCGTCGACGTACACGAGGATGTAGAACTGCGGCAGGGAAGTGTCGGTGCGAAGAAACAGCGACGGGTCAGCAGTAGAAGGAGCAAACCCAAGAGCCGCAAGCGTAGTCCTCAGTGTGTCGTGCCACTCACGCGGTGCCTGGCGGAGACCGTAGACTGGCCGTCGGAGGCTCCACTGGGTGCCAGGAGGGAAGTCCCAGTGAAGCCAGGTGGACGGCGAAGCCAGATCTCCTCGTGCAGGCTACCCTGCAAGAACGCAGTGCTGAAGTCGAGAGAGTGAAGCTCGTAGTCGCGCTGAGCGGCTATGTGCAGCAGCACCCGAAGAGTAGTCATCTTCGGGGTGGGAGAGAAGGTCTGAAAGTAGTCAACTCCCTGCCGCTCACTGAAGCCACGAGCAACGTACCGTGCCTTGAAGACAGGTGGAGAGCCCGGCGGCCGCTTCACCCTGAAGATCCACATGCCACTGACGATGTTCGCCCCAGGAGGGGGAACCGCGTCAACGTAGGTGCCTGTGGACTTCCAGGAAGCCATCTCTGCATCCATAGCTGCCTGCCACTGAGAGGAGTAGGGACCCTCTACGGCCTCCGCGTAAGAACGCGGAGTCGGGATGTCTAGTGCATCCGGGTCTCCCTCAGGGGCAAGCAGTACAGACGCGAGATGAGGTGAAGCAGCCGCTAGACACTGTAACTCCTCCTGCCTGTCCTCTAGGACGTCCGTGCTAAGAGCACACTCACCCCCGACGGACGGAGGACAGACAGACGCAGACTCAGCAACAAGACTAGCAGCGTAGTCGAGACGACAGCGAGCAGCAAAGTCAACCAGCTCAGCGACTAGAGCAGACGCAGCAGTGGACTCAAAAGAGGGGTCAGTGACGACAGTAGCAAGCAGACGCGTGACAGTAGGACTGGCAGCACGAAGAGAGTCCGACTCAGGGTCGGCAAGCGCAGGAAGAGAGGACTCAGGAGGAGAAGGCAAAGGGGCACGCAGAGGAGCAGTAGACGGACGCAAAGACATCCGGTGCGTGCCAGGGACAGGAGGAGGACGCTGACGCGAACTGCGACCACTAGCGCGAGCAGCACGAACAGGCGACGCGGGACGAGACGCAGGCTCACGACGCTCAGCAAGACCTCCAGTAGGACCAGTGTAAGGAGAGGGAGCAGGCAGTGGAGAGGAAGGCTCCAGCAGGGACTGCGACTGGACAGGCGGTGGACCCTTTACCGGAGGAGAAAGACCAAGAACCTGCTGCAAGAGCGGAACGAAGTACGGCCGAGGCCGCGCGGCAGCTCCAGACGCAGCACGGTCTGCACCAGCACCCTCAGCGACAGCACCAGCGCCACCCACACCTCCAGTGGCAGGACCAACAGCAGTAGGCTCAGCACCAGCTCCCTCAGCAGCTCCAGCTTCAGGAGGACCGGCAGCACCCGCACCCACGACGGTCGAAGAAGCTCCAGCTCCAGCTCCAGCAGCACCTCCTGACTCAGCAGCACGCCTCCAGCGGCGAGCGAACCACTCGCGCAGCTCCTGTGGAGAGAGGGGCTCCCGGCGAGACGCAGCAGCAGGAGAAACCCCAGGCTCAGCAGCTCCCAGCTCAGCACCTCCAGGCTCAGCAGCTCCCGACCCAGCACCCCCAGACCCCGCACCCCCAGGCACAGCACCCCCCGGCTCAGCACCCCCAGGCTCCGCACCCTCCGCAGTAGCCCCCGCAGGCCCAGCACCCCCAGCAGTAGTACCCCCAGGCTCAGCACCCCCGCGCACAGCA